GGAAATGTCATGGATGCAATGGCACAAGCTATTGATCGATCAGAAATTATTATTATTTGTATGAGCGAACAATATCGACAAAGCAATTTTTGTCGAGCTGAAGCACACTATGCCTTTCAACGACAACGTCGAATAGTTCCAGTTCTAATGCAAAAACACTATAAACCTGATGGATGGTTATTATTTTTGATTGGTCAACTACTGTATATTGATTTTACTAAATATGAATTTTTAAGAGCAATGGAAATGTTATCCAAGGAACTTAAAGTTACAGATGTTACTAATAGAAGTATATCATCTGTACCTGTTGCACAAGCAATAATAGTTAAAGATCCATCAACAAGAAATAAACGTCCACCAAATATACTGGAATGGACACAATTAAACGTGCAAGATTGGTTGATTGAACATAATCTTCAACAAATGTCTCGCCTTCTTGCACATTGTAATGGACAAAGTTTAGTTTACTTGAACAAACACATAAAATATGGTGAACCGCAACAAACTCTAAAATCATTGTATGAAGATTGCAGTCGTCATTTAGGTGAAACTTTATCATTAATTGAACTATCTTGTTTGCAGTCATTAATTGATCAACAAAAAAGACTTGTTCGAACATCGTTGTGTACTCAAGGAGGAAACAAGGGACAGTAAAGATATTTTTTTGTAAAACTATTTGTTCGATAAAACATATTTATTTGACTTTTTTTCTATACGTAAAACTATGTTGCGGATGACAATGATGGGATATTTATTACAGTAATGAATGAATATTAATATATCCTGGTAATTTATCAGCCATAGTTACAATTTTTTCAAGAATCAACTACATAGAATCCTTTTTAAAGAAGGTGTACGCTATTTTTATTTAAAATTTTAAAATGAAACAATTTATCGACAATCACATAAAGAAATAAACATTCTGACGAATAAAATGATGATTATATTAGACCTTCATAGTTTTATCGAAATTGACTTTATTAAAACATATCGAATATCCACTGATCTTGTTATTCTTGGAATTTGACGTCTACTAATAATAAATCAAATACGAAAACATTTCAATACTGACTTCTTTTTTTTTTCTTCTTGTTCTTATCAATATCTCAAAAAGAAATTGCAGCAGAAAATACTTATTATAAAATGACTCATAACGAAATACGTCAATAATATCCAATATGACGTTAACTGTAGATCGAATAAGAGAGCAAATATATATATAAAGGATATACAAAGTCCAATCCATTTTAACTGTGTAAGACTCTCATCAATCAATAAACTGGTTATCAACACTATATCATCTTACATATACGCATAAGTAAAACGAAATCTTTTTTAGCAAATTATGGATGGTAATTTTGAACAACTTATTAATGCACTTTCAATAATACCTTTATCAATTGATACTCTACAAAAAATCACATTTTTAATCAAACAACAAACTTCAGAAACAATTACATTATTTATCACTGAATCATTGCAATCTTTACTTGCATTAAAAGAATGGATATGGCAACGATTTAGTCATGATTGTTTTAAGTGGATTAAACAATCAGATTATATAACTTTATTCAATACACTTGCATTGTTTAATAAAAATTTAATTTTTAATTATGAAAATATTGAAAGTGATGTTAAAGCATCATTACTTATTCCAAATACTATTGATGAAATTAATATTATATTTCAACAAATTAATCAAAGCAAAAATGATAATGATTTATTTATTATTATAGTTAGTTCTTGGTTTGATAATCTTTCATCTTTTCTTCGTGAATATCCTGACTATGGTACATCACCAATACTTTGCCATATTAATCAATATATTGCACGTAATTATATTATGACTGATCAATTTAAATTCTATATAAAACAACTTCAACAATCAAATTTATTACCATCAATATTCACCGATAAACAATTGTTTTATATAAGCACATGTTCATATTCTGTATATTCATATCTGTCTGCATATACCCACAATTTTATATTTACTCCTGAAGAGTTTTTACTTCACTTTGGTAATGAATATTTACAAATCATCCTTATGCATACTCAAACAATTGAAAAATGGAATAATAAATTTCTTAATTGCATCTCACATTTGACTGGTTTTATCTTGTCATGTTATTGGTGGTGTGAAGATAAATCAGCACGAGTAAAAATATTATTTCCTACTGAACAGACAATGTATGATTTTATACAAGTATTGATACGAATAATTAGTTATGAACCATTTCAAGAAAAACTTAAAACTGAACAATTAAATGATGAAACAATTTTCCTTACTATTGGTTTAAAATTTTTATTAACTTTATTACAAACACAAAATGTAACTGACTTCGTTCGCACAGATCTTACCTTACCTAATACATTATTTAAATTAGCAGAATTATCGACATATCATGTTATTTCTTTAAATGTTTATGCAATATTAGGTGAAATTCTAAGTGATGAAAAATTAAAAGAGTTAACAGTGGTTGATCAGGTTGACAATTTTTTCTACAGTATACTTGAACAAGCTTGGCACCATCCATTAAAAAAATACAAGCAATTACCGATTGTTCTTTTATTACGAAGTACGTTTCTATTCAATATTTATTAGATTAAACTTTGATTTCTTAGGTTTTGTGGCTTTATCAAAGAGCGATGCTATTCAACAGGGTGTAGCCGATTCAAATCGGCTAGGTGGTTTCATTGAAATGTCTGATCAATATCCAGTTGTATTTGATATCATATGGGCACTTTCATTCAACCATGATATTCAACAACAACTCCGTTCTAATCCATCATTTATTCAAAAACTATCTCAACTGGCTAAAGAATCTGATGATGAACAAGTGCGTAAAACAACGCAAGGTATTCTTTGGAATCTTGAAATCAATCATCAAGATAGATCTATATCATCAAATACTAATCAAAACACTTTTGA